CCTAGACTAAGAATTGCCAGTATTTACGCACAGAACATGCATGAGATCAAGACTTTATAATAATAGAAACACAACTTGAAAGAAAATAAGGTAGACCAACAGTCAAATTATAAAGGGACTGACACAAGAAGGAGGTAAAAATCAAAAAATGCAACAAGCCAGACTACCATCTATAGTTTGGGGAAAGATTGCCATCCTCCCTCCTTCTTTCCCATACAGCTACCAGAACCTTGGGAGAGTGTATTTCTGTTTGGGTTTTGATAAGGGTAGGTGTAAATATAGAAATCTGAGCACAATACTCTGGACTACCCTAATAAAATGTTTTGATTTTTAATACTGAAACTTCAGATAATCTAAGTAGCAACACTGTAAACTCCTCTGACAAATAGCCTGTGACTTGAACACAGAACAATCCCATTTCCTTGCAAGTTACCTTAAAGATCGCTATAAAATCATATTCTAGATACAGTAACCCAAAGAGGTTTTGTTGTTTTTTTTTTCCAAACAGTTTTTTAATTTTAGGCTGGTTTAGATTCTGCTGTTGCGGCTTTTGAGTACAAATGTTGCGGAAATACGGCCACTGCTCTATGTGCCAGAGTGTACTTCTCAAGTTGTTTTTGCATTTCATCAGGCAATATCAACTCAAGCTCTGGCAGGAAAGAAAAATATCAGTGAGAGCTCTTTCTGCAGATCACTGATAAAGTCACTGTAATCTTTCTAAATGCAAGCAAGCACTCTGCACGTAGAAATTTTATTGACACTATGATCGGATTATACTGTTTCTGTGGAGAGCTGCCAAGACCAAAACTACAGACACCTTACTGGCAAAGGCATGCAAAAAGGTAGTAGCAGACAAGTTTTTTCTTAATTTTCAGAGTCTTGCTATCTTTTCTCACTATTAATATATTCCAGAAACAAGATGTAGTACACTGCATATAATGATCTCACTACCTGATTCCCACACTACAGCCATTTCTTTTATTGCATAAAACCCCATATTCCCATCTTTCCCTTTAAAAATGGAGACAGTGAGTGGTTTAGATAATTACAGCTGTCACAAAGGGCTTGACAAATAACTTTTCTGCTCAATGTATGCTTTAGGCCACTGGGAAAGCTGTCAAATAATGACATCAGAATCTACATTAACACTGGCAAAATGCAACTGTGCTTCCTTTCAGATGGTTTATAGCCCTTCCTTTTCCTATTCCCTGGTTGAGCACAAGAGTGGGATGAACAAATGGGTTGTAATTCAACCCAGACAAAACGGGGATAGACAATGCAGATTAAAGGAAAGAGTATGAAAGAAAGAGAGAAGCACATCCTTGATTTGTTAATGAAGAAGCTTGCTCATTCTTCATTAGCAATGAATGCTGAAAGCTTGAGTCACTTCCTAAAATTCCAATTAACTTGTAAGGGATGAGCATACATAACAGCTGCTCTCCCCTCTTTCAGTATCTAAGTTGTTATTACAGTGCATTTCTTGTACATGAGCCACTCCACATGTACAAGAACGTCAGATGAACTACCACCTCACACATTGTGGGGAGCTACCTTCCCGCTCATCCATTCCAAAGCTCTCAAGCACAGATCCTTCCCATCTTCAATTTGATTTTATATTACGTGATCTTAATTCCAGTCAATGTACAAGCAAACCAGAAATTCACTATTACTTCAATGCCTGCTGAGTTCACCTGCTCTGTTCTGAGAGCAACCTTGGGCACTGATCTTGGTTTTAAAAGCTGCTTGTGGGTATTCCCCACATGGAAGACGGCAGTGGCCAGAAGCAGCTGAGGCTTGACATTATTAGACAATTCACTTGCCAGTGAAAAGTTTAGTGACTATGGCAAATGATTAATGAGGAACTTCGTATTTCTGTTAGGCATCAGTGGAAAAAATAGATTTATTTCCAGAATAAAAATGCAGCAAACCTGATCTGGTCATGTGGTTTGGTTTTAGGTAGCCCTGCGAAAGGCAGCAAGTTGGACTCAAGGATCCTTATGGATCCCTCCAACTGATTCTGTGATCTGTTTATCAAGTATTTTTCCAGAGTTAAGTTACACACGCCACAAATTCGGCTCTGATGATTGTTTAGTGCGTCGTTAAGAATGCTACTTTGAAGCTATTACAGCTTGAGCACTAGGGTTAGTATCACTGTCAACTCTGAAGCCATAAAGGATCCAAAGAAATATGATCTTCCCATTCATTTAATGTTTTGAAAATGTACCTTATGGGTGACATGTATTTAAAGGGATTTTCCCCTCACCCATCAATTTCAGAATCTTCACAGAGCCCCTAACTTGATCAAGCATCTAACCTCTAACATCCTGTTCCTGCTGACCCACTGTGCTGGTTCATCTGCATTAACAACAGTTTCCATGCAAGGCCAGTGATTCTGTTAAAGCTTAAGGCTATGCTAGACGCTGGTTTTCTACCAGTGTAGTTACGTTAATGAGAGATGCAATTCATCCCCACCTCTTTAGCATCAATGCAGTTACAGTGACATGCAATTACTTTTATTACTACAAGAATGGGAATGAGCTATACCAGTATAACATGATCAACACTAGAGAAGTGTCATGTAAAAAGAAGTAAGGTTTGCATATACATTGTTTTGCCTTCATTTTTACAGTTTTGGAGTAATTCCAATGATTTTTACGAAACTCCACACACATACCCCACCTGTGTATTTGTGGCACAGCATGCAGGAAGGCATTTGGAGTATACAATCTAGGGGGTTAGTTAAAGTGTTTCAGTGTTTCTAACACCTAGCACACATATATATTATACCATATTACTCGTGGCTGCTCCCATAGAAGATAGTTGAAGGTTTTACAAGAATGAAACTGATGTGGGGTAAGAAGCAGATTAAATTGTAGCTGACCACTCAAGTGAAAAGTGGGGGTCAGAAACACTGCCCAGCCTCACTCAAAACAAAAGTCATAGAACAGACCACACTAAAAAAGGGCACAAGATGAAGTTATTCACAGCAGCCTTCAAAACAAGAGAATTTAAACAGTATGCGTCCCTCCCTCCCTCCCACACACTGCTCAATAAGATTTGCTCCCTACAACTTAAGAACAGTTCTAGCTTTTTTTTTTTCCTAAGGTTCATTGTGATGATAAATGCACAAAAGTGTATGGTATGCACTGCTGCTTATTAGCATTTAATGCTTCTTGAACAACTACAATGCAAATATTCATTACAACAGATGGGAACCTTGGTGGAAACAAGAATTCCCACAAATTGTTTAAGAGTACAGTAAATGAATAGGATGACAAAAAGCCCAAATCCCTCACAAATGCGTATGCTGCATTTGCTTACAGATTAGCCCACTACACATCCGTTGTGCAACTGCATTTGTAGAACACCCTTTGAACAACAACGAAAAAAATTATACCCCAACAAGAAGTGTTTCCTATTTATGGATGTGTTCATATCAAGCAAACCACAGTTGTCTCAAGGTTTGGTTTGATTTTTTTTTTGTTTATTTTTATTAGTGACAGATTTTTGCGTAAGTAGGGTGTGACAGGACAGACTATAAAGTCAGACAGTTTTAAAGAAGGCTCCATTTTGAAGTACTTAGTTGACAGTGTATCAATACACTTTCTAACAGACATGGTAACTTTCAAAAACTGATGTCCAGAGTTTATTTCCAAGCTCCTAAGCTACAACTCCACATAAACCACCAAAAAATCTGAATGACAGCATAGGAAGTAATCGAAGCTACAAAAGGCATGCTGGCACCCTTTAAAACTGCTTTTACTTCATGTATACAACTACACTATCAAAATAAACATAAACTAAATTTGCTCTATAGAATGCATTACGAAAACTCCTACATCCTGCACAAACTCTCACTGATTCCCAAGTCTCCTCTCCCTATTCAATACAGTAATATGTAAACACACTCCACAAACGTGTTTCTTGCTTATGATCAAGGTGCTTCCAGGGAAAGTATATTAGTTTTTAGTCTATTCCTATGACTACACTGAGGAGCGCAGAGAAAAAACGAGCCCTACTGCTTACTGTACCTTGTAAATTGTTTCTTAAAAATACTTAATATTTTTATCCATATGAGGCAGGAGAAAAAAAAAAGGCATGTGATTCTGTCTACAGTACCTTTCATATCTTGCTTATGGCTGTCAGAAATGACAATAACAGAAGCATAAGAGCACAAGAAACAGTTGTCTTTAGTGTATGCACACGTGACAGCCCTTCTTGGAAAGTTGGTTTCCCCTGTCAACAGCACAAGACGAGATGGGTAGGGTCCATAGACCCGTGTACATATGCACACACAATCACATGCAGCTACATCAGAACAAGAACATGTGTGGCTAAAACCGCATCAGGGATCAGCAGTATTCAGAAAAGCCTCATAACTCTTTTAAAAACAGCCTCCAACAAGGGAAACACCTCTAAAGTGGAGACGACAAAGAAAAAAAAAACCCAATAAATGAAGAGATTTCATCGGCCAGACCGACGGCGGGCAGAGGAAGGAGGAGTACCCTGCAACAGCTCCTCCATCCTGTCCCAGCCGAGGAGAGGAAGGGCGGAGGGCGAAGGGAGGAGGCTAAGGGGTGAAGGAGAAACGGCCCAAATTAAGAAACATGCCAAGCATCGCTTCGCTGCGGGAATCCCCCTCCGCACACACACGCACTTTCAAAGACAAACTCGCGGCGGGGGGGGAACACCTCCAAACATCCACTGAGGATATTCCTCATCTTCATACACCCAGCTTGAATTTACTGGAGCGACAGCGAATTGACCAACTCAGCTTCAATTCTGGCGGGGGACTGTCACCCTCCCACCCCAGCACCCTTCCTGGAACGGGGCGGGGCGGGACGGGACAGGCAGCCCTCCCGAGCCCTCTCTCATGGGGAGCCGCTAGACCCCCACACGCCGGCTGCCCCCAGCCCTGAGGTGCTCGCGGAGGCACGGCAAGGCGTTTCCCCGACCCCCCGTCCCCGCCGTCTCGCTCCCTGCAGCGCCGCGTCCCTCACCAGCCTGGGTGGTGTCGCTGAGGTCGTGGTTGGCGGCGCTGGCCCGCGGGTAGTCACGGAGCTTCCTGCCGCTCAGACTGAGGGTACCGCTGGCCGCCGCTTCTTCTAAGGCTCGGTCCAAGGAGCGGTTCCACGAACCGGGACCCGAAGGACCTGGTGGCGGAGTACAAGCCGCCGCGTTTCCCGCTTGCATCACGGCGGAACCGCCCTCCGGCGCCGCCAGCACCGTGGCCGCCATTTCGCCCCCTCCGCCGCCACCACCACCACTGCCACCGTCGCTGCTACTGCTCCGGCTTTGCGCGCCCCTGCGCAGGCGCGGGGAAGCCCGGGGACCGGCTGGGAGGGAGCAGGGTATGCGCATGCGCGGCTAACCACCTGCGCGCACAGGAACGGCAGCTCCTGAAAATAACGCGGCACATCCGCTTTGTGGGTCCGACTGGGGGTAATGTGTCGTGCGGGGGCGCGCACCGCCCCTCGGCCATGGCTGCTGTGCCCGGACCCCTTCTGACCTCTCACCAGCTCCTGAGCATAGGCCCGTTCCAGCAGCAAACCAAGGGGAGATCGCAGGGATTGAACTAGGTGGGAAGAGTACTGACTGGATCGTGTTCAACTCGATGTCATCAGTCCCTAAAAGGCTGCACACTTTGCAACGTCCAAATAAACGCCAATCTTGGTCTGGGCAAGCACTGATGCGCTTGCATGCTGGAACTGCTGCGGGAAGCTGGCAAGTGTGCAGGCTTGAGCTGGTAAGGAAGAGCAAAGGCTGTGAACACTCTTCCTCATCAATAACTTATCGAACATATTTACAGGCAGCATTTTCTTCCTGCACTTCCAATAAGCAGCAGCACTTCCAGTGCTGGCACAAGCCTGCACTCAGAACCACAGGTGGTGGCTGTTTTCTCAGGGTGTTGACACCCATCTTGTAACCCGAGGTTCAGGTGACAGTCACTTCTCACTAGCAAGGTATGTCACAGCAACATGAAACCAGCGCTTGGTCTGACCGAGTCAGGGATCTGGTTCTATAATCACACCAAACCACTACAGTAGATGGTGCTACTGAAAAAATACATAAATACAACATTTAAATGAAAGTTTGTACAGTGCCACTCCAAGAAGTGCTTCATTTTCAGGATATTAAGCTGGGCAACGAATGTGAGCCCTCCTCAAGTGAGCCTCCTTTCTGGTATGTTCTTCAGAACATTTAATAAGAATCTAATTATTAAGAACCCCTTGAAGGATATCACAAAATTCACATAACCAATATACTGCTCAGGTAGTTATAACAGGAACAAGACAATATGAAACCTGTAACTTTTTATTAAAAAAAAAAATTAACAGCTTCAGAATAGATCCAATGTAATAACTTCTCTGAAAAATACCAAAAGGTATAGTGTAACACATCTTCTCATTAAATACAAACTAGCATTTTTTGATGCACTGCATCAGTGTTTTGCATCTATGTTGATGCAAAAAAAATGTTATTTTCGTTGCATCCTGGCACATCAAAGAAAGTATACACTGAAACAGGGTGACTGACAACACTTTATCTACTCCAATTCTAACAGTGGGACATTTTTTAAAAAACCCAATTTCCTACTAGTAATTAACAGAAAAAAAAAAAACAAACCCCAACCAACCCTTAACACCATTACAATTAGTTTGCTTCTCCTAAGGTATATTTTTCAACATTAAAAATAAGGGTTTAAGTACTATATAGTATCAGGATGCACTCTTGACTTTAAAACTGCTATACAAAAGCCCTTCTAATGTCAAACGTTCTTCAACATTGAAGTTCCTGGTAAATGTCAGTTAACTTGGAATTTGAGACAAAAATGCAAGGAAACCAACTCTAAGAAGGCAAATGTAAGTTCCTGAAGAACAATAAAAGGAATTAAACCCACTTCAAACACTGAACATTTCTGGATACAGCAAGCCAGTTGTTCTTTTGCCTGACTGTACCTAAATCTCATTGCTATAGAACACTGTTAAGTTCCTGATCTGGAAGCAATTCTGAACAGGTGCCTCAGTTTTATGGATCATACAAATTCAGACTGAGGATGAACATTTCTGGATACAGCAAGCCAGTTGTTCTTTTGCCTGACTGTACCTAAATCTCATTGCTATAAAACACTGTTAAGCTCCTGATCTGGAAGCAATTCTGACAGGTGCCTCATTTTTATGGATCATACAAATTCAGACTGAGGATGCCCCAGCTGTTACCATCCTGCAGATCATGATGCACAAAGCTAAACGTAAAGCAACAACTACATGGTCCTGGCTTAACGCATTGCATGTGCCGGCAAACCGAAGGCTTTCTTCCAGCAACATTCCCCAGTTCCAGACAATTTTAAGATATCTGACCACTTCTGATCAGCTTCACATCTTTCCTCTCTTTGGTATACACAAACAAGTGCCATTAGATTGCTTGCCTCTGGCTATTTCCAAGAGCCAGAGAAAACCCTCTGGGGCAAGGAATGCAAAATGAGAATCCTGTCTCTGGGGAGGATAAGGAATTCTACCATACCACTGGCTTTCTCGTGCATGGTTGCATTTATTCCTATGTAATTCAAAATTTCAAAGTTATTGCATTAAATTTGTGAAAAAGGTTACAAAAAGAAACAACAAAAGTTTAAGAAAAAATAGGAGACAGACATACTCCATTTACAGAGGAGGATAATGAGATTAAGCTATTTGTAATATAAATTACTCTCATACTGCCTGTGCAGTATTCCTCCACTGCAATCTGGACCACTTTTAAGGATAAGAGTAGAATAGTCTCCATCCCAATTTCATATTTTGGATATCTCAACTAACAGCTTTATTTGTGAAAGTGAGGATGCAAAACATGTAGTTTTCAAGAAAGGAAAAAACCTGAACTTCAAAACCACAAAGAAATCCAACCAATGCTCCCATAAAAAAATGCCACTACATCACTACCGAAGTATTCATGGACTGAGGCTCTGTGCCAAACTGCAGCCCACAGGGAAGTTTATAAGCAGTCCCTAAAAAACCCTAAAATGGGGTTTGCAATGAAACATACAACCTTTCTTGTGACAGAGGGGTCAAAGAATAGACACTGAGCACTCCTAAATAAAAAAAAAAACCAAAACCAAAAAGAAAATCCAAACAAAAACAACAACAAGAAAAAAAACCCACCACAACCCAAATCAAACAAATAAACAAAAAACAAAAACAAAACAAAAAACTTTTAAGATTTTTGTATTTTGGTTACAAGAACCAAAATCAGTGTTTGTTGTCAGCTGGGCCACAGAATCCTTTCCAGCCAGGTGATGGTGCCACTCCAGCAGATCAGTTTCCCCACTTTCCCCCTCTCAGGACATCATGTCTTTTACTATTCAAAGTAATAAAGAGAGAAAACTCTTGCCACCATCTCAGCATGAAGTCCAGAGAATTTCAGTGATGTGTGCTGTATACTTCTGCCCACTTCTATCTCCATTTCTTAGGTAGGTGGGATCAGTGCTCAAGTCCATCTGTCAGGTTAGCCCACTGTTACAAAACGGCTCCCTTTGTTCTGAGACAGTGCTGTTCTTTGTTCCTTCAGGATCCCAAAACGTTCATTCAACGTCATCCCTGTCTGAGAAATAAAATAATTTAACTATAGTCTTAAAAAACATTAGGTTAATTTAATCAAAGTATGAGAGGCAACAATATTTTTTTCCACTCATTCTGTATCATCACACGATTTCTTAATAGCCTCACTTGGATAAAAAAATGGTTTGATTTGATTTCATCATTTCCCCACACCATTTAAAAATCAGATTGGACTATACATCAAGAGCTAGCATTTCTCATTTCTCAGAATTCACTAAAACCACATGGTACACAATGTCAAGACAATGTCTGCTCAAAATACTGCAAGTTAAATTGAGGACAGACAGACTGAAAGCGGGAACTTCCACTAAACTAATTTTCCCCACATAGTTTCCATGCAACTTCAACAAATGCAGCAATTTAACTACGTTAATGCAGGGCTGCTTTCCAGTCCATCCATCTGATACAGTAGACTGGAGTCTAGTCCAAAAGTTCAATTAATGTTACAGTATACTAGTAGGCCTTTTTTACCATACTGCTTATTTATGGAAGGAAAAAATCCAGCTTGATGCCCTGAGCCCATGTATTTTTCTACAGCTGGCAAGAAGGAGCCAATTACAAAAGCAGCATCTAACGGTCACCCTGTAAGAATTCTTTCAATGATAGAAGCAAGATTTCTGCACCAAATCATCTGTCGTCATGAAACTTGTGAAAAATTGTCCATCTTTAAGCGTTTACATCATTACATTTGATTTTTTTCCCCTAGATGCATAGCAAAAGTTGCTTTATAAATTCAGCTGCTGGGGTTCTATGCAGGTTACACAACTGAAAACAACTCATCCCTGAATTATGCACAGTTGCTGATTCAAGCACTGCGGGAACACAAGAAGGCTTTTAGAAATATTCAACATTTTAAATCCCATTTAAAACATGTGAGCACGCAAGACATGAACTAGACGAACAGGAACAGTGAGTTTAGTTACTTGTATGAAGTTACATAGCAAGTTAGTGAAAGAACTGGAAGTGGAAACAAGTAGTCACTAGTTCCCTCTTCCTGTCACTAGTGAGTCTAGGTGGAAAGTGCCTGGCTCACTGGCTTTCATCTGTCTTGAAACTGTTTCCACAGTTAAGCAATGAAAATGCATTTACCTGTTTTCCAACACTATTAATATCAAACTGCAATGGAACCCCTTTGGGAATCTTCTTCTCTTCAGATTGGTCTCTCTTCATCAGAAATGGTGGCACAGGAGTACGAGTTAATCGCAATTTTGGGGAACTGTGAAAGAAGAATGGTACAAAGGACAGAGTGAATATATGTTTTATGTAGTAAAACCTTAATGCTGATATATGTATGAATTTTTCGTCAAGCCATTCGATCTGAGTAGCTGAATAGCTGAAAGGTACAAATTCAAGAAGGTAAAAGTTCATGCAGAACTATAAAAAGGTACCATTTGTTACTGTAATCAGATAGCGAGTGTCATGACAGGAAGTAATCTTTTACCTCTCACTCCTTCTGACAAACACATAATTTGGAGTTAAGGATTCCCGTAAATACAAAAAAATTAAAATGCTACTAATGCAAAAGGCTACTTTAAAATAAAACACCTCATGAAACAACAGTACCATCAACTTCCTAAAGACAAAGACAGTAATGCTTTCCTTAAGCACAATTCCAGAACTATTTTTATGAATCACAGAGGAACTATTACCATCACTCATCAACTAGAT